AGGGTTCAAGGAAATGTTCGACGCGTCCATCGTCACCGTCTGGTCTGCGCCCAACTACTGCTACCGCTGCGGCAACGTGGCCGCGGTCCTCGAGCTCTCCGAGGACGAGTCCGGGACGGGGCTGTTCGCTCGGAGCAACGGGGACGTCGGCCGCAGCGACGGCGGGCGCGGCGTGATGATGGAGGGCGAGACGTTCGTCAGGAACGGCCCGGCGAGGCGCTACCGCGTGTTCCAGGCCGCACCGCAGGATTCGAGGGGCATGCCTGCCAAGAAGCCAGTGGCCGACTACTTCCTATAGTGCGTGACTTGGAATAGATGCGTATGGTTTTGGCGGTACTCGGTTTTGTCATGCTGAGTAGGTAGTTTTTTTCGCTGGATTGGGAACGAGGCGTCACATGGGAGTTATTAATTTGAAAAACAACGTTCTTGGCTTCACTTCGATCCCTGCTTCATCTTTCGTATTTTCGATATCCGTCCTCGTTTGTCTATTCGAAGTGAAACTAGATAGGGCTAGTTCCCCTAGGTGGAAAAAAAAGTCATTCTGGAGTTCCGAGACACTCAGTTCGACATGATGATGACCATCGTACCGCATTAATTCATAAGGAGTATGGGATCAACGATTAACACTCGTAAATCTCTTCTAGCGCCTCTCTATACAAGTTGTCCAGAGTTTCCATCGCCTTCGGTACTGCTTGCTACTTTGCTTCTCATAAAGCGGTGGGCTAAACTATTTCCAAGACAAGCATAGTCCTGTCCGCGTTGTCTCAGGATACACGTATCCTAGTCGATAGTCATGCCACTCTCCAGAGTCTCGGCCTGTCCCTCCAATTGGGATGTTACTGGTCATTCTCCATGACCTGACTACCGAGACAAACAGAGCTCATGGGAGCACCAAGAGCTTAGCCTCCACACCCCCCTCCTAGCCCCTATTGTATCCTTCATGTATCGGGAACTGTTCCGACACACCAGGAAAGTCTTCCACATCGTGTTCGCCATTGGCAAAGTAATATCTGTTGGGGGGGGCAAGTGGGTGAAACAAAATATGGCACATCGAGATAGTTCAGTATTGAATTTCAATATAATATCGCAATAAATCACCAAGTACTGAATACAATAGTTACTAACTATTATAGAATAGTTTATTACTCTCTTATTATTGTGTTTAGCTAAAAAATGAGGTCCCTGCCTTACGCGAAAAGAGCTTTGATATGCCATGTTTTAATCCACCCACTTGGGGGGGTGACACTTCGAGACCATTGCAGCCATTGGCAAAATCCACGGCCTCTCCGCATCGGTTTCAGTCAATAGCTTTATCTAAACCTCGCTTCATGGTAGTCCAAAAGCTCTAAGGTTTCAACTTCCAGCACAGGAGACTAGCTCAATTCTGATCACTATCAAACAAGCTATTCCAAGTGCATGGCTCTTGTCTCCTAGGAAGTTTAGTTCATGTCTTCTCCAACAGCACAGTCACGAATGCATCCTCTCCTACCCAAGCCGCACGGTTACGATGACTCCCAGCACCAGTTTCCTTAACGTAGGTACGCTAATTTCATTTCTATTCGTTTCACAATGCGTGTCTATATAAAAATCAAAATGCACGGCTCGTCTCCCCCAAACGTTCCCCCCCTCCTTACTCCTCCAACTCCAAACCCCAGCCAACCTCAACCGTAAGGCTGTATATCCCCTTCCCCCCCTTTCCTAAATGGCAGCGTGGGTATGTATTTCTGCCATGTAAAAAAACAACACAAAATAGGGAAAATTACATATACAACAAAGGACAGCAGAGCAAGACGAGTCGCCATTGTCCATCCAAAAAAAAGACCAACTATAAAAAAGACAAAATCTAAACAAAGATCATAGTTGTAGCTCCTAGTAGAGACAGAATCTTTGACTTGCTTAGATCAACAGAGCCCCCCAAAACAGGATAACCCCAAAACGGTACCAGCTGTCTGTCGCCCACGCACGCTCTCCACCTGAAGCCGTCGACAGGGACAGGCCCGTTGGGCCTCTCCACTATCGGAGCATGTGGATGGGCGACAGCAGCATGATCCAACGACCTTTACAATGCCTCGCCCTTTCGTATTTCAAGGGCTGTACATTCCCCCCCAAAACTATTCTTTCAAGCACTCAAAATGCATATTATTTGCTAGGGATACAGTTGTGCCAACATGATATCCGCCATCGTCAAGGTCGGTCGCTAGGTGTCATGTTCGGTAAGGTTGGAGAAATGCGATTGAGCTCGAAATTATGGAATCGTCGTAGATACCCGGCAAGTTCCCTTGCCAATACACTTAAAAAGGACTGTTCGCCGGGAAAATCGCAAGCCAAGGCACACGGTAGCAAGGCTCTGTAGCAAAAAACGATGACTCTCCTCCACCAACGCTATTGAGCAGCACGATAAGCTTTCCAACGGTGGTCTAGATACCAAACAGAGACTCGAATGGCGTCCGTTGAACGCCATTCGAAACTAGGTTCGATAAGCAGGCCGAGGGTCAGAACACACTAGGCGGTCCAAAATCTCGTCCATTCGGGTTATATGAAGAGGTTGGCTCTGCGTACCCCATAGCCATGCCCCCTTGCATACCAGACTGGATCTGCTGCGAGTTTAGCGGCGTTTGGCGTTGCCCTCCCAGCACACTGTTTTGCTGGTGCGCAGAGTACGGTTCCACCTGGGAAGCCGAATCACTGGAGTACACAGACGCCGAGTACGACTGGCCACTTGTCGGCGCGGCCATGGCGCCGGGGACGTTCATTGCCTGGTGGTGGGTGTATTGGGAAGACATTGCCGGCTGGTTCCCCTCCCAGAGCGAGGAGGTGGTGGTTGAGACACTGGTAGCGGAGGTCTCCCGGCTGGCCTGAGTCGGTAAGGGGAAGGGGACGTTGGGGTCGAGGGAATTGGGTCGTCGCGGAGTGAGGAGCTGCTGCAGAGACTGCACGGGTGGTCCCGGATTGCTTCCAAACGAGGTCGGGCTCGCCAGATCAGGCGCTGACAGCATGGCGGTCTGCAGATAGTGGTTGATGTAGTCGTCGCTAAGGCCCTGCTTCTGGAGAAGCTCGCGGAGCTGTCTGTTTTCTTCGGCGACCCTTCTGGCAGCCATCTGCACTTCTGCAGAGGCCTCGATGCCCTGGAGCTCGCATACCCGTAGGCGATTCTCCAGATCTTGCAGGTATTCTCTTTTGCGAGCTCGGGATCTCCTCTGGTTGTCTCGGATGCGGGCGAGATTGGCCTTTTGCTACATTGCGGCAAGACACGGCGTGTTGGTCAAGAATTGGATTCATATCGCTTGGGTGTTGTGTGTACGTCTGGCTTCTTGGGGCTGGGATAACTGGCGGGACCGGGGGGCAGGAGAGAAGAGCAGAGGGCAGGGCAGGGCAAAGGGCACAGCAGGGAATCGTGTGTTAGAAAGCACTTACTGCAGGTGTTGACATTTAGCACGAACCGGTCTCCGATCGGTTCTCGCATCGAGGCGAAAGACGACTAGGAAGGGGATCGGTTGGAGGAGCTGACGATACAGACGGCACAGCAAACAATGCAGGTAGGTTTGGTAGGCAAAGCAGCGACACTTGCGGACCTATGGGGGGATGACGATGGGAATGATATCCTATTAGAGGTCGGCGATCTGAGTTGATGTATCCATGTATCCTCGAGACGCGAGTTCCACTTCGTGGAGAATGACAGCAGTGGCTCCCGCCCGTCAGGAAAGTTTCGGCGGGGGGTTCAAGTTGGGAGTGGTTAGGATGGGAGACAGGGTGGGAGTGAAAGGTGGGCTTCCGAGGATGGGTGAAATTCAAAAGGTCGGATGATAGGACACACGAGACTGGCGGTATATCTACCTTGCTTGCCCACTCGGTTCCCCATATGTACGGCTCTTGCCCCGAGTACCTCCTACAATGTAACAGGTTGGGGCGAAGTCTGCAGGAGCATGTCTGCAGTGACACTGAGGACGAACTAGCGAAACTAAACTGACGGCTGCAGACAAGAGCCGATCTTGCTCGCCGGGGGCATCCTGGTCTTCATGCAAGAGCCGTGTGTCTAACACTACGTACTAGCCATGGGCCTCCGCCAACTCCCAGCCTGTCAATCTGAATACTGCTGCTAGGCTCAGGAATCGCAAATAACATTGGGCACGGGCTCCGTCCCCAGCGCAATCCGTCGTTCCGTGGCCCCAGAGCTTGAGGCGTGCCAATTAGGTATCTTTGGGCACTGCCGGTTACAGATGATGGTGGGAAGACGACGACCAGACCAGGGCCGGTTGGGTCTGGCGGATCATGCCTAGTGCTTGTTAGGAAGGGCGCCACTTTCTCCCTCATCTGAGGAGGAGAAGTCCCCATTCAAAGGGAGATGGCGGCTGTGTTCTTGCGTAACGGACGGGGTCTTGAACAGTCCCGGGGCTACGTAGAATGCTACGTATGTCGTCCGCCTCGCAGAAAATACTCGAAAAAGAAGCATTTGAAATCACCCAGCCCTAGACATACGGAATGTCTTGGCATGAAGAGATCTGCTAGTACAACCAAGGACCGGAAAGGGGCATGAAACTCAAACAACCTGGAAGCTCAATGCACTTGTATGAAAATAAGCGTAACAAAGAGGCAGCCCATGAGGCTGTGATAGATTGGGCTATGATAGAGATCGGGCTGTGAAACGGCTCTCTCTAGAGACGCCATCACGAAGAAGATCAAGTTTGGGGGGGTGTAAGTGCACACCAACTCCCCTAGAGCCAAAGCTTGAAAATACGCCAGGAGGCAATGGAGGTTGATGGACAGCCGGCAGTGGCTCTCATGCAACCCCAAAGAACAGTGGAGTGTCAATCGGCTACTACTACGTGAGGAGACCAAGGGATTGATGCCTTCTGATTGATCCGAAGCGTCGGGAGGACTAACTCCATAACGCCGGCCAGTACGGCAGCAGGTACGATGAACTGATGTAGGTGAGGTCCTGGCTCAGGAGCCAAAAAGGGTGTTGAGAGTCTAGGACCCTGGCTACTCGCTGGTCCTTAGTCATGGTGCCCGGCCCATTAGCAGTGGGTAGCAAGATCAACGGAAAGACTGCCAAGTCCCATGGGCCAAGATACGAGCGAGACGCGGCAGATGCTCCCGCTGCGGTTCGCTTGGAAGTTAGCTTGTGAACACGCAATGCAGAGCAAGGCACAGCACAACAGCCGGGCTCTGCGGATGCGGATGCGGATAGCATCATCACCAAAGACTTGGCACGAGGCCAGGAGGTATGACGTGGGCTCAAGAGTTGCTGCCAATGCCAATCGCGGAGTGATGCGACGGCTGCTGCCATCATTCAACGGTCTCGATCCTATAGGCCCAGACGTAGCTCTGCGCCGAAGCCTCCGGGCAGTAGTTGATCTCTCACGGAATGATCACAGGGCGTTTTGTTCATGCAAGCAAGGCACCTGGTCGACGCGAAGCTTGGTAGCCCCAGCTTCTGGCTACAACCCATCTTGCTCTTGGCTCTGTGTCAGGCGCTGAAGACACTTCCCCCGCGCTTAGTCTTGAAGATCATCTAGACAACGCTAGCGCGAGCAAAGGGCCAGCACTAGCAGATATAAGGCTGGTGCGTATCCACAGGAAATCAAACGGCCGTCCCCTTTCCCTGAGCGCAGCGCGGCCAAGCAGGGCTCATCGGCCCACTCATACGAGTTGGGACAAGAACCAGCTTGCCAGCCGCATATGCAATGACCTCGTCTTGGGATATAGGGCGTGGCGAGCTAACCCTGCTTTGGGGCAACGCCGTTAGTCGAGTCCATGGCCTGTCGGGCTGTGCGCGCACGGCTCGTGTGAGTGGAGAGGCATTTGCCGGCGTTGCGTCCGCATCTACCGCGTATTTGCTTCCGTGGGCGAGTGACCCGATTCCGCCCGCATGGTTTGCTTCGGGGTGAGGGAAGTCGGGCCCTGGACATTTCGTCAGGAGAGGAGCACACACACACGCCAGAAGAGGGGTCGAGTTCTAGCCATTCCGGGCGTCGTTGGGGGAGGCAGGGATGGGTGATCTAACACTCTTCTGTCGGCTGATACATGAGATTAATATGTACAGAAGCGTTTTGGGGGGGTGTTTGGGGGCTGGATCGCCTCCCGCCAAGCTATCACCTCAGATTTTCATTAGGCAAGTGCCTAGGCAAGTGCCTACCCGGCCAAAACCTCGTCTTAGTAATGCAGAATACATCCCCATTAGGCCATGTCTACCTGCCATTGCACCGCCCGCACGCCTGCCGCCCAGGTACCAGCCCACTCGGCTCCGGGTACCTGCTTTATCACATCCAGGTGGGAGAATGGGGTTGGGCGCAAAGTCGCATCACGAGGCAGGCACGGCAGTAGTCCTGGCAAGCGGCAGGCACAGACCGAGCTCAAACCGAAAGTGTACGCGACCGGAAGTACCCAGCTGGTGTCTTGGGAGGAGCGCACAATCTATCTACACCTCCGTGCATCGGGGTGCTTCCGCTCCTGGGTAGTGGAAAAACGTGCACGGAGAATCCCCCCTCCCTCCGAGCAACTTCCCTCAGGTAATACAGGCGGCGGCGCTGCCATCGGTGCGCTAAGCTGGTACTGCCCACCACTAAGCCATGACTAAACAACTAACCTCCAAACTCTGAGACCGGAACCATCTGAAACTACAACGCCCTGGCTGTGTTTATTGGGGGGGAGGAACTCGCCCAGCCAACCGGCGTTTACCGAGCATTAGAGGACCCTCTCCCAAGCAACGCCACATACTCACGCATATCTGCTTTGGGTTTTCCCCGTTGGAACCAAGAGGAGATGGCGAAGCTTGGTAGAGCTAGATTGGAGGGGGCTGATTCCCCTATGGGAATGATGCGCTCTCCCGTTTAGTGCCGGCTGTTGTCTGCTAAACCAGTGGGGCTCACTAGGGTCGACGTACTACCAGGCGCCACTTGGTGCTGGTCTCGTGTAAACGTCGGAGAAATGGCTGGAGGTGGTTGAAAATTGCCATGCGATTGGTGATGGGTGGTGATGGGTGGTGAGCATGGCTGGTCAAGTGGGTGATATTGGAAATGGCACACCCAAATGAAGACCCAAATTACCTAAATAAACACCCAAATATCTAAATGAGTGCATCATTCTAAATATATCGTTAACTATGAAAGATAATGGATAGCATGCATCAATGGAGTGCTTAGGTGTGCCATTTCCAATGTCACCCACTTGATGGGGTGGTGATGGGTGGTAGCATCGCTGGTGTGGCTGTTTTGCGTGCTTCCGATCAGCATATTTGCCGGGTGGGCTTTTTGACAGATCACAATTGAGAAACCAGCCAGGCGAAGCTAGCCAAATTCCCGCAGGGATTTAGGCCACCCGGTTTGTGGGAGAAATCCGAGACCGAGACGCCTCCTCTGGTTGGACGGTTTGTCAAGATCGCCGGCAGCTCATGATAGGATGCCAAAGTTTCTGTCAAAACCCACCTTTGCCATGATACGCCCTCGACGCCCCCCCCCCTTGCCCGGTGTGCTGCGACTACGACTATTCTGAGCGGTTTACTTGCCCGACCCATGAGACACAACCCACGTGTGCCATTTGCGGATGTGAAACCATGATCACTGCTTGATTGGGAGCGATAATGATCATCTTATGATGTGCCAGCAAGGCACAGAGCAGAATCGAGAGAGTCTAGACTCGGGTCTTGTTCATCCCACTTTATTGAGCTTTGGTGATGACACCTCCCAAGACGTCTTCCCCCGTCGTGTGGAGACATACTGGCACTAACACCAAGCGAAGACCCCAGCAAGACGCAATTGACAGGCGCGAGCAAGTCATTCAGTGGTCCAGGCGAGCACCGGTTTGATTGCTGTTTCGTATCCATCATTTCGACGACCTTGATGGTTGTTGTGATAACAATTCCAAATATCGAAGCCCTTCGCGATATCGTTTCCCTCTACAGTTAGAAATCAAGGCCGTCTTTGTAATTAGGCCGATTGGGCACCACAGTGCTAGTTTCATGAAACTCAAGAGAATTACGACCCAAGTGGAGTATGGAATGACATTCCAGTGTAAATGAAAGCCGTGTCCCTGAATTAGGCGAGGGCCCGTTCAAAAAGCTTCTTTGTCATATCTTTCAAGCAAATTTCGTCCATGGTGGTTGAGAGCTCTCCCCCCCTTCAATCGATCGGGGTCGCCGTCGTTGACCGCAAGTGTGCTTGTTCTTGGGAGTCTAGCTCGCGGCATCGCCCACGTGAAGACGGCGGCCTCCGTCCAGCAAAAGCAGTTAGATGGCCGGCGCACTTCAAGGATCTGAGACCCCAGTTGACCGCCCCCAGTCATGGAAAAAGAAAAGGCACGCCTTGCTTCTTCCTTGGCTTCTGTTAATCTCTCACAGTACCAGGGCTTGAGCGCATCTGTTTGGTCAGACCTGCGACCACACGCGACCAAAATCCCCCTTGTTCTCGGCGTCGACTCCAATCTCGATGGAGGGGATGGAGGCTAGCGATAGGATTCCGTCTTGGGTGGCATTGCTCGGTCCTTGGATTGTTCCGGATCTGATAAGCTGCTTTGCTTACCAAGTGTCGTTGATTTTGTCATGCTCAGCTCATCTCCCCGGATTGATCAAGCTTTTTGAGGGAGGATGCCCTAGCCCCAGAAAGCGGGAGCTGTCACTTTCATGCATGACGGCCCAGAGGCATCTAGGAAAAAATAAGAAACCAATGTCGGGTTAATTAAGAGTGACAGCTATTTTCTCCGCGATTACCTGACACATGGGGCCGTGAATGACAAGTGACATGCGTTGGTTCGGCACAAGCTCGAAGCGTGATGGGGGACCGACCCTTTTAGATTTTAAGCATTTCGCGATTTAGACTCCCGGGTACGGGAAAAGTGGATATTATGGATGTCAGTCTGTCTCGCCGGCACGGTGCGGTCCCGTTCCGTTTCATACCTACGGATATAGAGAAACTCGAGTGTCATCTTCTACCTGTCTTGTCTCATCATTTGTGTTCTAATCAAAGGAACTCGCGGGCGGTCCACGGTGCGTCTAAGTTGTGCTAGCTCAGCCTTACTCTTGATGATAGTTGAGTTGTCATGAGATGCACCTAGTGGTGCAGCCTCCAGTGATGACCGACTATATATTGCTTTTTTCCACCCGGACGTCACTGCCAAGAATCTGCCAGCTCAGCCCTCCGTGGATCCATTGCATTTGCTTTCGGTTGGCCTCGGGAATTACTGCCCCGTTTGTCTGCCGTCGGACGGCTGTACGAACCCCGGATGCCTCACACGACATCGCCGCTACCCGCTATATCCGTAAGACCGCCGATAATGTGACACTGCACCGTCAAACATCGAAAGCCCTTCCATTTTGGAATCTCATGCCTTTGTAGACAAGGCACGGTATAGTAGAACATCAATCCGACACCCGTTTCTTTCCCAGCGAGGCGGCGAGCGGCGCCGAACCCACCATCTCACTCCATCTTGATATTGCTCTGCCCTCGTTATATCCGGTCAGCTCCCATTAGTCCTATCATCACTACTCTGAAACTGACATAGACTATACCTGACTAAGCCTCGCTCTTAATGGGTTCTGATTCCACCGAATAACTAAGTGTTTCGCGTGATATTAATAACATGTATGTGCTTGCATCCACTCACCCGCGCAGCCGAGAGTATGGGGTTGAACACTGAGGGTGGGAATAGCAGAAGCAAGGCATCCCTCCCGCTCCATTAACCCCACGATCTGCCAGATCTGCTAGATCTTACATGCGGACATTCCCCTGGCCTGGGATGATTAGTGATGTCGCCTTTGAATAAGCGATGGGCCGTCTGTTTATCAGCGGGGAACGGACATCTTCGCCACCGTGACACACCGCCGGGCTGGGAGGGAGAAAGTGCCAGCAATTCTGGCATTCGTTTTAGGAAGGCCTGATCTCTTAGTCAACAAATACCATGCATTAAAATAAAGCGAAGACAAACCCGGAAAGTAAAGAAAGAGTGACCTGCTTTCATCTTTGCATATGTAAAACAAAAGGAGGATGGCTCATATTGACAGCAACCGAGGTATAGGGTAGGTAACTGGCTCGGATGTCATTATTAGGTCCCGGTCTTCGCTGTTGAATCAACCTACTTTCTTAGAAAACATTTATCTCAGCCACTACCACTCCCATCTACTGTTGGATAACTCTTTATACTGTACTATCAATGGATTTGGCGACTAGAAACACCGACAGCTTTAGCTATAGGTACTGTTCATCAAGATCATCATTTATCAAGTCATCTGTGAGCC